TGTAATAATAGTTTATATTATTCTATTATTGTAGACCATATAATTAATTGGACCTAATTGAATTAATAGTCAAACTTAATTAAGATGAGTATGTATTTAATGGATTATTAATGTTCTAATATTAAAGAGTCCAATTTGTGATGTTTGACTTGGACAGTAAGTTAGGTTAGGACATGGGGAATGTTAGTATGATTAGAATTGTAGGTCTCCTCCTATATATATATATACTACATGCCCCTCTCTCCCATCTCATACGAAATAAAGTTCTCAACATCAAGGGCTTTGTGAAAAGACGAGAGACACGTGAGAGAAATAATTCATAGGCAAAGAAGAATCCATTGTTGGGATTACGATACGAATCCATCATTCAAGTTTACGAGAAAGATGATAGTACATCAACATCATAGATGAACAGAGAAGGACTATAGCTGGATTCTTATAAGTTTTATGTGCAATTTAATTAATGCAAAAGATCCATATTCTATGAATTGATAGAATTAAATGCTTAGGGTTTATTCAATTCCGCCTAATAGTTATGGATATACCAGTTAAATTTCTTACAACATGATCTTGAAACATGAAATCCTTTCCCAATTCCCATGGCCTACCTTTAAAGCAAAAGCAAGTTATATCCTTTGTGAATTCACTATGTTCTTCTGGTCTTGTTTGTTTGTATGAAATGTTAGATTTTGGAAATCGTAGAGTGAAAAGAAAGCCCCGAAAGGATTAGACCAAGACCCATCCTAGGAACTGATCCGGGAGGGATTTATCTAACATTTCATACAAACAAACAAGACCAGAAGAACATAGTGAATTCACAAAGGATATTGACAAAAGAAAAAAGAAAAAAAAGCAGCACATCAACACATTCGGCATGACTTTCATCAACCAAGAGTACGTTTCACCAAAAGCTAAAAAAACGAGATTTTCTTTTGTTTCATATGCACATTAGTACAAACACATTTTTTGCACCGGTGATCATATTTTCGTAACAACGGCTTCGAATATTTCATCAGATCTGAAATTGGGCCCAGAGCTGGGTTAACGGGCCCCGGAAGGGTGAAGAAGAGGGTGAAAGGCCCGGGTGAGCATTGCTTTTGGATTTTCATCTCGAAAACTCGAGAGTGTTTGTTGACTATTTTCCTGCCAGTAGATGTCACGCCTCGAACCCACACCTTCCCATCCTTTTGTATATCGCACTCGAATTCTCCTGAGAATGACAAATGTAGTCCATGTTTGAGATAATAAGGAAAAATAAAATAAAATCTTGGCAAAAATTAAAAGTTAATAAGGTTGCCTTAGAAAAAACCTAACATGCAATATACTTTTATACATACACATATGAGCACAATGCTCTTAAATCAAAAAGGGAACACATTCAGTCAGAGACCT